TCTGGCAACTCCTCGCTGCTTCTGAACCGTCTCTCCTTCCCCCTGCCGCTCAGTCCGATTCCTCAACTTTGCCTTTGATGTTCAGGGCTCCTAGATTGTCATATCAATTCACTTATTTTTTCAGGTCTTTGTTGTAAGAGGGACCACGGGAAGTGTCTGACTACTCTGCCATCTTGGCCCTGCCTCCCCCACCCCTTATAATGTAATCAAATATTTCCCCCTCATACCAACATACTGAATATATATATAGAGAGAGAGAGAGAGATTTTTTTTTTTTTAAATTAAAATGGATTCACATTCACTTGCTTTTTATCAGTTAGCAATATTATCATGGATATCCTTCTGGGTCACTATATATATTTAACATTCTTTTTAACAGCATAATATTCTATCATATGAATGTAACATTTTTTTCAAATGCTCCCCATTAATAGACAATCAGGTCATACCTAATTTTTGCCAGTGAAAAGAATGGTGCAGTATGCATCCTTGCTAGTATATCCTTATGTCTGATGCTTTTAGTCTGTAGAAAACATTCCCCAAAGTTGGAGTGGTATAGCAGAAATTTATGTGCCTTTAAAATTTCAACAGATTCAGCCGTGTTATTTTCCCAAAAGGCTGAGGCAATTCATATTCCCACCAGCAATGTGCCAGTTTACTTGCTATCTAAGTAGCTCTTAGCATTACTGGTCATAAATTTGTGGCCAGTCTGATGGGCAAATAATATCTTTATTTGCTTTTCTTGACAGGCCAGGCAGAGCATATGTTTATTGTCATTTGCATTTCTTTCTCAGTGAATTGTGTGTTGATACCCTTGACCCATTTTTCTACTGCATTGACTGTTTTTTTCTAATTATTTTAAGCATTCTTTTAGTCTTTGAGATTTTCTTTGTGATAAGAATTACAGATATCTTTTCCTAGTTAATTGTCCTTCGACTGTTTTTATGGTGCTGTTAACAAAAATTTTTATTTTTATGTGGCTTTGTCAGGTTTTTCCTTCATGACTTTTGAATCTCTAATTTTTCTTTTTTTTCCTCTGAGATATATATATATATATATATATATATATAAACATATTTTTTCCTTTTTTTTATTGTTGTGCTTTAAGTGAAAGTTTACAATTCAAGTTAGTCTCTC